TTAACGAAAACATCCTGCAAAAGCTAAAGAGCCTAACGCAGCGATGCAAAGATTCTTTAAATTAGCATCTTGTTATGAATATCTAAAATACTCCTTATGATTTCTGTGGTGATAAGCTTCTTTTTCATAACTGGCTGTGATTTCTGGCGTTTAGCAGATTCGATAATATTCCTGCAAAATTCACTATTCAAAGGATTACGATCCAAACTAGGGACAAAAGAATGTAACCATTTAAGGGCAGCATGGGCTAAAATTACTGAGGAACTAGAGGTGCAAGACTGCTGAACTTCAAATAAATATAGAGAAACAACACTAAGGGGAAAAGGTACCCCAAGAACTTTCTAATAACGCGAACGTAAGCTTTAGTAGTTGTATCCGCCCTGGACTTCAACATAACTTCTAAAACCTCATAAACGTTGACTGAAGAAAATTGTTGAAAGCCTTTCAAGGAATTACTTGATAAGATTACCTGGAAAGACAAGAACAAAACATATATCCTAAAAGAACAAAAAAGAACATCCTTTAATAACCGTACAAAAATCGATCATTGTTGGGGCCAGTGCCACATGGGACGATAGACCATTGTAAGTCAGGGCGTTTCTGTACATGGGGTTCTTTCTTGTCCTTTTGACTTGCACTGCGGGGTACCCCTAGGCTCATGTTTAGGGCCTTTGCTATCATAATATATGCGTCCAAGCTGTTTAAGATCGTGGAACATTATCTTCCCGATGCTCACTGCTTCGCAGATGATACGCAGCTGTATCTGAGTTTTAAACCACTCGGCAACATTGGCCAAGCTGATGCTATACAAGCTATGGAAAAGTGCATTGACGCGGTAAGGAAATGGATGATTCAAGATCGGTTGATGATCAATGATGATAAATCGGAGTTTTTGTTGGTCGGCACACAACAACAGCTTGATAAACTAGAGTCGTGTTCCATTACTGTGGGCAATAATCGTATCAGTCCAAGCCCATGTGTTAAAAACCTTGGATCGTGGTTTGACAGCAACTTAAGCATAACTGATCATATAAACAAGGCTTGTAATGCGGCATTTTATCATTTACATAACTTGAAACGTATTAAGAAATACCTGTCGAGGGATTCTTTAATTACTTTGGTTCATGCTTTTATAACCAGCCGTCTTGACTATTGTAATGGTTTATTGTTTGGCTTACCAAAGGCGCAGATCGCTAAATTACAGCGTGTACAAAATGCAGCAGCAAGACTTATTCTTCGCATCGGAAAGTTTTCTCACATTACATCGGCGCTTTATGAGCTGCACGGCCTGCCGGTTTCTTTGCGTATTGACTTACTTTTGACTTTCAAATGTATTTATGGCCAAGCACCAGCTTATCTTAGCGATCTTATTAGAATAAAATCGAATTTATTATATAATCTTAGATCTACTGGTAAGCTCTTATTGGACCATCCCAAGAGAAAGATGCTTACAACATTGGGAGCAAGATCATTCTCAGCAGCAGCTCCGAAACTCAGGAATGGCCTACCTGTGGAGCTTCGTCACGTAACATCACTTAACAGTTTCAAATCTCGACTTAAAACCTTTCTTTTTAAGAAGCATTTTTATAGTTTGCACTTAGGTTATTTTATTCTCACGGTAATGTATTTTTGTTTTCTCTTAAACATATGATTGTAAAGCGCTATTGATCAGCACATGTAAATACGCGCTATATAAATTGGTAAATTATTATTATTATTATTATTATTATTATTATTATCATTATTATTATTATTATTATTATGGGCCAGTGCCCCGTAAATCAAAAACCATTAATTGGGCCAGCGCCACATAAATGAACTATACGCTGTTTACGACAGCGCCACATGAAACGATAGACTATTATTATATTGCTTTGGCCAGCAACACCAAATATAAATAATCATTAGGTTAATGGACACACTGTGCAATAAATTACTCAGTAAATTTTAATCTAAAGGCAATAATATTTCCTGTTAAAAGATCAGACCCTAAGAGCGAATTAAAGTTCCTTCCGCGGGTTTGAATCTCATTCCCAATATGAATACTGTGAGCCACAAGATAACTACTATACTTGTAATTAAAGGCTAGAAATGAGCCGAAGGCTAAAGAGGTACAACGAGCGTACCAAAGGCCTGCTGAGATTTCAAATAATGCAATACGCGTGGGACGATACCAGCTGGAGGGACTACTAGGCGATTTTCTCCTCGAAGAGACTGAAAGAAAAATTCAACACCAGAAGTATTCGGGTTCCAAAACCTCGAAAATATTTGGGGAGCTTCTGATTTTAATAATTAGCAAAACAATCAACACTATGCGGGCCCCACCGACCATCAAAAATTCTTCAGTAATTTGCCAATCATCAGTGTCAATTAAACGACTTATATAATCAGCTTGCTGATTCGAAGTGCGAGGGATCCATTGCACTTCTAAATGAATCCCTGATCGAATAAAAATATCAAAAAATCCTTCGGGCCATCTTATGCAAACTTAATTTCATGCTGCCCACTTCAACAATATTAGCAGCTGCTTGGCTATCAGTGAGCCACTTAACGTGTGATCCTTCCAACACTGAGACAAAAGATTGCATTCTTCAACTTACCCTTAACACTTAATGAATGTCCGCTTTCAAGTTCGTAATCCTGTGTAATTTTATCTACCTGCCCCAAGTCATCTTCATTGCTTTGGCTGAGTTGATTGGCCTGCGGTTGGCTTTTTGTAGGAGATTCCAGGGCAAGAATTATAGCTAGGGGACTGGTATCTTCCCGGCCAGAAAATGGATCTACAGTTCTTGGCCCAGTGTCCAAATTTGCCGCGTTTGAAACAGCAAAAGAAGTCGCCAGAAGCGTCTCTACGGCCTAAAAGATAAAAGCAACGACGAAACCTTTAGTAAACGGGATGGGGAGGGGGGAGGTAAACCAGAAAGATGAATGAACTGTATGGAACCGCGAGTGTGAATGGTACTCAAGAGACAGCGGAGAGTATAAGTACTAATAATGGTGGGTGCGGCAGGTGTGAAACGAAAACAACTGCCTCTAATTACTTGGAATAACAGAGGGAAATACATTTACGTTCTACTTCGCTTCGCTCAAACTAACGTAAATCATTTTACCCTTAAAGGGAACCTCCACTCTTACTACAGAATAAGTTAAAATCGAATAAAATTATGTTGATAAACAAATTTGTTCGAAATTTGTCTTTAAAAAAGTGATTATATCAGGAAAAGTGAATTTTAAAATCGCTTATTTTCACTTTCAAATTTCGTGGGCGCCGCCATCTTGAATAATTGTGACGTGTTACGGTTGCTCTATTGTTCTGACACAAAGAGCTTTTGTTTAATAACAATAGGGCAACCATTACACGTCACAACTATTCAAGATGGCGACGCCCGCAAAATTTGAAAACAAAAATAGGCGAATCTAAAAGTTATTTCTTTCGGATATAAACGCTTCCTTTAAAAATATTTTAGATTGACTCGACTGTAACAGTTATTTCCTGTGATTTAAAGTTATCTTTTTGTTGAAGTGGAGGTTCCCTTTAAATTCCCGTAATACAAACAAATCACACGAGAAATATGGTAGGATGCGCAAGCGGATCCAAAACACATATGAAGATACAAAGTAAAGAGAAGGCTCTTTTTCTTACCACGAAAAAGTTGATAATCAGTGCCCAAAGCAATTCTTGGTTTCTTTCCACGATCACTGGAGAGTTGTTCCTTTTGACGTCTCTTGCGGCTCGCCGCTTATCTTGCCTTCTTAAGGACGGTGCCCACTAATGGAAAGCATTTTTTCCCAGATAATGTGAGACAAGTAGATCATATCAGGGGTTATTGAACTCCAAAAAGAAAACTGGGGGTAACCGCGCATTTTTCAGAGATAACTGCACTTCAATATGGAGAAAAACGCTTAAGAGGCATTTCTTAGAAAAACGATAAAAAGTTATTTTTTCCCCAAATTTCAGAGTGTACATGTAAACTGGCACAAATGCAATGATAATTGTAACAAGGTTTCAAAATGAGCAGTAAATTATAACATAACAACTGCTCTTTATACGTCTTTTTTTGAAATATCAGCACAACTAGGAAGTTATCAGCAGTTACCCCTCTCCATGCGTTTGCCTTAAAAATAGTGCAAAGGACATTTTCCCCAAAGCAAAAATTGATCGTTTGCTGAGTAGGCTTATTACTTTCATTTGGTAAGATAAACAAAAGTAGGGGTTACCACGCGTTTTTAGAAGTTACATTGGTTAGTTTTGACCTTAACTTAATCGCTTTGAGGGTTATTTACAATTTTTCCCAACCCCTCCCCGGTCAGTTTCACTATTGCTTCACTCAACGCGGAGTACTCTGGGATATTCATAATGGCTAACAGTCAGAGAGAACAACAACCCACGGAGGAGAGCAAACACAGTCTAGAAAGTGAAACAGGACATTTCATGGACTCTAAGGAAAACAAATTATACCATTTCATTCAACTGGAGCTTCTCCGTCTCAAAAATTTAACAAAAATATAATGTTTGCAGAAGAGCAATCTCCAAGGTACTAAAGATTACTTCCAGAGTACATAGAGTAGTATAGCGAGCTCAAGATCCAAGGCTGGTGCTGTAAACAAACTACTGTACTGAAGTGGAAAATAGACCACAGGGACTCTTAGACAGGTACTCCTTCAATCGTTTGCTTACCTGTACATGTCCTCAAGATTTTTTGAAGTGTAGATGTAATATGGATTGTAAACCTTCTATCGTTTTTTTTTTTTTTCATTTTACCGGGTACCTCGATCGAATATGTTATTAGACTTGTATACATTCAATGAGCTTATAGCGGAGCTCTCGCGCGCGAAGCGCGCAGCGGAGCACCATGGGTAACAAAATGTGGTAAACTACCCATCCGAGAAAATTTGGTAATCACGTGACCGTACACCGACCGCCCGCCCAACCGTCCGTCCGCACCACAGGCATACCAACGCAAAATTTCGGGTAGTCTGTGATGAGGGTTTTTTGGCACGAAAACGAATGGCAACCCGCGTTTTGTGAAGCATAAACAACTTAGAAGTTCAGGAAAGTCAACTCAGAACAAAAAGAAATTTTTCGTGTCGGTTGACATTTTTTATACATCCGTATTTTCTACATTATTTATTTATTATGCCCTCTAGTTTGGAGTATAGAGATAAAGAGAGGCAGAGAAAACGAGAAAGTAGGCGGCAAGCAAGCCAAGCTTAACGAGAGAGAGAGCGGCAGAGAGCTTGAGAAAGGAGGCGAAACTGCTCTGACGAGCAACGGGAGAGGGAGCAAGAAAGAAACAGAGAAAGGAGGCGCAATTTTACTGACGAGCAACGGGAGAAAGAGCAGGAAAGGGATAGAGAAAGGAGGCGCAATTTTACTGATGAGCAACGGGAGAGAGAACATGAAAGGGATAGAGTCGAGAAAAGAGGCGCAATTTTATTTATGAGCAACGGGAGAGAGAACAGGAAAGGGACAGAGAAAGGAGGAAACATTTTACTGAGGAGCAACGCGAGAGAGAGCAAGAGAGAAACAGAGAAAGGAGGCAAAATTTTACTGACGAACAACGGGGAAAAGCGCAAGAAAGAGAAAGGGAAAGGCGACAAAATTTCACTGAAGAGCAACTGGAGAATGAACGAGAGAGAGCAAGAGAAAATAGACGCCTAATAAGCGACGAGCGGCGAAGAAGGGAGCGAGAGACAGCAAGGGAAAACAGGCGTCGTATAAACGAAAAACGAACGAGAAGGAGGAGAAGGTGAGCGAATTTTTGCCGAGGTTAGCTTTCTGTTATAAGAATCGGGGATTTTACGAAAACAGAGGTAGCTTTTGTTTTGTTTGTTAATCAATAACCTCTTTGTAATTGCATCAGTTGTTTTGGACCAATCACCACACGTCATTTGTTGTCACGCAGTCTAGAGTTGATACTTTTATCATCCATTGAAGTTGACCTGTGTCCTCCAAGTTCGTTGAAGAGAAACGATATGATTGGAATTTCACTTTAACAAGACAGTCGCGTCCAAGATAAAATTATAGAGTAACCTTATAATTCGTGCTCCTCGGTGTATTTTCGTTGTTTCTGGCGCGGAAAATAAGGTAATCTTAAATTGTATTAATGAAATTTTATCGAAAATTATAACCATTGCCATGTGTCCGATGCATCGCTGAATGAATGATAACTCCTTATGTAAATTTTAGGCGACTCTGGCCTCTGTGACAAGTTAAAATGATTCAGTGTTAGAGGATTGTAAATTATACGGTCTGTGAAAGCGTTGTTATGTTTTCTGAAAAGAGAACAGAGAGCACCTTGAATTTGAAGATTTTCAATGTCTGTTGAAAGAGCGTTTTGGTGCAGATTGTTCGAGCTTACCTCTATTTGTTTTATTCAGGGTAAACAGAATTTGAAGGATCTATTCTCCCTCTTGTAATTGAAATAACTTTTATTATTTTACTATAAATCTAGGCTTTTCCATTTTGTAGATACCTATCTTCGAGTGTTTAAGAATATAAATGGGGATCTATGTAAATAAGGAGGGCAGCCAGGGTTAGAAATTATTTTTGAATGTTGACAGGCCAAACAAATTTAAGCTCGGTCATGTCTAGTTACTAACCGGTCAAAATAAATTATTACCTGCCAAACAAATTTTAGCTCGGACCGGTCAAAAGACAGTAAAAACTCGTAGGTAAGAACCTGGATTTTCCCATTGCATTAACAGGTACGTTCTTACAAAAATAGTTATTGGCAAAAAATTTGTCTATTTTTCTAAAATGAAAAGGTTCTTATTTTCTGCAGGAAAAAAACATTGCAGCTTATGTCTCCCAAAGAGGTTCACCTGAATATTTTCCAGGTGTATGGAATTTTTTTTATAGATTTGAGAAAATAAAGATGTGTGTCAACTATTGGGCTAAACAGGTTCTTGTATAGAGCCTGGGGCCTAATTATAACTGGCAAGTTTAGCCAAACAGGTTCCTAAAAGCCAGGTTCTTAGTCACAGCTAGGTTTTTACTGTATTGAAGACATTGTACTTTGCAGTAATAGCCAAATTAAGACAAAAATTATGTGATCATAAATGCTCAAAAACTCCTTGTGTTGAGAGATGGGGAAATATTATAAACCAGTTTTGAGTGTGGTTATCAAGTTGTTCATTCATTGGAGGGTACAGTGTAGTAAATAATATTTCCAAGAATATTGTCATGCTCAGCTCGTTTATTCTTAAAAACAATTCCCCATAAGAGTTAAACCAGAAATCACAACTTTTGGCTCAGTATTGTTCTGACATGTTTTCTTTGAACAATAGGTGTATGTAGGGGTGAGGGAAAATTCTTGCCCAACTAAAGATTTTATCTTATCCTCTTAGCCATGGAAGAACATGAAAGTCAGGTCCTCCAGGTTGAATGTAGCATGGAATGCTCTCTGCACTGGTGAACAAGAGCAAAGTCACTCAGCAGGTACTGATATAGTTCATAAGCTTCTTTTCTTGTTCAGCAAAACCAGCTTGTGGCTTCAAACAACGTCATAACAAGCGACCAAGGTAATAGTTTTTCTCCGTTGTTCTTACTTTTGTAACTGCTCCAAAAGTCCAAATTCACAGTAATTTTGATGGCTGTTAAGAATTATTTTTCTTCACATTATCTGCCAGGTTTTTTTAGCTGTCCCGCTGTGTAAAATCCTAGAATCTCGATGAGTTTTTAAAGTGTTCATCTTTACAATGTTTTGATTTTTCATTCATCCAGTCCAGGAGAGTCGGTTCATGCGTTGACAGTGCTGATAGACATGTGACATGTGAATAGCGGAACTCCCTTGTCTTTTCTGGTTTGTTCTAACAAGATTCAAAGGGATTTTGTGGGCGTTTTTAATAAAATAATTATTCCACTTGCGCTTGTTGGATGAGATGATTATTGCCAACTCGGCGCTATGCGTCTCGTTAGCTATTTTCCATCTCATATCCAACGTGCCCTCGTGGAATAATTGTTAATTATAAAATAACTAAGATAGTACGTGCATTCTGATTGGTTAAAAACCAATAGTTTATTGTGCCGGTAAAATCATAGAAAACTGAAACATGCTTTAAAGTTATTTTATAAAAGTAAAAGACCACATTTTCTAAAGGTTTGCTGGTGTGATAACCCACTTGGGATGTTGGGAGAAGACTGGAAAAGCTTGTAAACCACCAGCTTAACTTATCAGATCTCTGGGCCTCATGCCCCCAAACCCCCCCTTAGATACGGTACTCTCGCTTTACCAGCACTTGGTGTCAGGCACCAGTTACTTTACATTGGGAGCTGGCTACTCTAAAACTTCTGGAAAACACTGAACAATAGAAATATATAAGAACCAATGACCCCCGGGGGTCACAATCTGCTTGCTTATCTTCTTAGCCATGGAAGAACATGAAAGTCAGGTCCTCCCGGTTGAATGTAGCAGAAAATGCTCTCTGCTTGGTGAACAAGAGCAAAGTCAATCAGCAGGTACTGATATAGTTCATGGTAGATGGTATTTATTATAAAACTTAATAAATATACATGGAAAAATTTCTTGAATGAGATTGGCTTAGAGCAGTGCAGTTTTTAGTAAACACAGTAAAAAAAAACAAGGAAACATAATGCAAAAATAAGGAAATAAAGTGCAAATTTCTCAGAGAATGAAAACCTGTGAACAATCAGTGTTCTCCAGAAGCGCAGGCGACTGGTGGTTTCGCTGGCTACTCTTATGACTCAAAACAGTAAAAAAAACTGTCTGTACCTTTTATCTTGAATTTTTCAGAAGGTCCTAAAAGAAACAAAAACAATAGCTTGTCGTACAAAAAGCTCTTTGGTGTATGACAATTTGCCTTTTGCTAATGGTATTATCGATATATTTACTGAATGATTTTTGATGAGACATTGCCAGATAATATTTTTAAATTATAAAATAACTAAGATAGTACATGCATTCTGATTGGTTAAAAACCAATAGTTTATTGTGCTGGTAATCTCATAGTAAACTGAAACATGCTTTAAAGTTATTTTATAAAAGTAAAAGACCACATTTTCTATGGATTTACCAGCATGATAACTCACTTGGTTCTTGGGAGAACTCTGGAAAAGCTTGTAAATAACGAGCAAAACTTCTCAGATCTCTGGGCTTAATGCCCCAAACCCCTCCCTTAGATACAGTACTCTCCTTTATCAGTGCTTGGTGTCAGGCACCAGTTTCTTTTTGCTTTGGGAGCTGGCTACTCTAAAACTTCTGGATAATGTATCGGTCAAATCGAAGCTTCAACATGCCCCCCGGGCATTTGACTTTTTGAAAATTATTGTTCAAATTCCCCCCCGGGGCCCAAAATGCCGTTCAAATGCCCCACACTAGGGTCCATTCAGGTGATCAAATGCCCCCATCCTGGGGACATTTCACAGGCACAAAAATGACGGAAGGACGGCGGAAACGCCTTCAGTTGTCGAACAAAATCTTTATAAATATAACAAAAACACTGTTAGCGTATTTACTACGAACAAAAAACTCGTGCAAAGCGGCAGAAATCGCTGCTACAAGGTCACTGAATGCTCAGCTTTTCTTCATCATGCAACATCCAAAGGGTTCTATAAAAAAAGATCCCACCTATTGAGATTACTACATCATGACCATTTCACTGACATGCATCATCGCTCACCGTATAAATTAACATACTTGCAGTAGGTCAAAGTAGTTGACCTGATCTTTTTATTTTATTTTATTCTATTTTATGTTGTAGTATTGAATCGCTGGCATAGGTATTGTATTTCATTGTAAACACAACAATAACATACATTCATACATTCAAAGCCTGAATCCAGTATTAAAAATTTTAAAATTTAAATACTTCAAAAACGGCACAAAGCTTGTTTAAGCCCTTTCCTTGTAACCAATTGGCCACAAAGGCACAATCTTTTCCTCGAAAATCCTCTAACACCGCGTCCCCCATGATAGCTCGTCACGCCAAAGATTTTACATGAAATCGAGGGTGCAGTTCAAATTCCCCACCCCTAAAGCCTGGGGATCAAATTCCCCACCCCCTGGAAGACTCTGATAATCAAATTCCCTCCTCCCCGGGACGGCAAAGGTGTCAAATGCCCGGGGTATGCCCGGGGGGGGGCATGTTGAAGCTTCGATTTGACCGATACATAACACTGAACAATAGAAATATATAAGAACCAATCAGCCTCAGGTGTCACAATCTGCTTGCCCAACTTATTAAGATTATATCTTATCTTCTTAGCCATAGAAGAACATGAAAGTGAAGTCCTCCAACTTGAATGTAGCATGGAAAGCTCTCTGCCAGGTGAAAAAGAGCAAAGTCATTCAGCAGGTACTGATATACCGGTAGTTGTTTATGGTAGATGGTATTTTATTATGAAAGTTAATAATATACATGAAAAAATTTCTCTGTGAATTTGATTGGCGTAGAGCAGTGTACTTTTTAGTAAACACAATGCAAAAACAAGGAAACATAATGCAAAAAGAAAGAAATATAATGCAAATTTATCAGAGAATGGAAAACTGTGATTGGGCCAATAAACAATAGAAATTTATCAGAACTAATTAAGTGCCACAGTTTGCTGGTGGGAAGCATGTATACTTTTAAAACTTCCCCCTTTTTGGTGTAATTAATTATGCTCTGTTGTTTTACCTAAGTAATCTTTCCTTTTTCTTGTAACACTTTTTTTCTCAATATTTTATTTTATGAATTTACCTGATTATTTTTATTTATTTATTCATTGTGGGTTGTTTTTGTTTTCATTTTTGTAACCAAGATTTTGAAATTAATAAAGGTGTGGGTGGGCGTGTGTGTGTAACAAATAAGAATGTTAAAACTTTCATATATATATTTTTTACATGGACTCAAAAGAGCAGCTATATAATCAGTGATTTTGTTACCTCTGCATTCTATCTATGTTCCTTACACATAAAAATCGCCAAAGACATAAAATAATTCATGGATATATCGATCTGAACGTGTGTATTTGTAGAAATATCCCGTACATGTAATTTCTGTGGCAGTTATGGTTGTTGTTTAGTGATGCATATTTGTTTTAGCCTTTGTTGACTTCTGCTTTAAAATAGAAGAACTATATTTTAATTTCAGTATACTATAATACAGAGTTTTGGAGTGTGTCTTCAGATTAACTGTCTGTGGCTGGTACATAAAGGCCCAAACATTTTCCATTTTGGACTCATTTTTTTTAACTGGGACTCATGATTTCTCACAAGATGAGTCCCAGAATTCATCATATTTATTTGTAACAAAAACACTGTATAATTCATTGATTAGACCTTTTGTCATGTAATTCAAGTGTTGTTGTTGTGGTAAACATGACAAGTCATCATGTCTGTACTTAATTCTCCATGACTGGATTGTAGGATTTTTGTTCTGTTTGTATTTGATCGTGCGTTATTATTATGGGAAAATTTACCTTAGGGTTGCATTACTTTGACTAGGACAAAGTTCAAATACATTGAATTCTCATAGAGATAATTATTTTTTTGGATTATAATAATGAGTTCATTGGTTGGGTCACCCCCATTATATTTGATGACTGGTTTATGAAATATCAGCACTTAGAAAATGATTGTCAAGGTTGTTGTATTATCCGAAGTTTCAAAAGTAGAAATATTGTGTATTTTCTATTTGAAATCAGGTTTTGAGAACACTTCCACAGATACAGCTTTATAATAGTAATTCTTGTACAGTTATACAAGCATGCAGTACTAGGGTGCGAAGAAAAGGAGGTCAGTTTTGTGCTTGTCCTTCGGGAAGGCTGTAGCTTGCATCTGTTAGCCCAAGAATCACAACTCTATTATCCCTCAGGCATGATAAAAAATAGAATCCACTAGCCCCATAGCTTATATGAATTGTGTAGTTGGTTAATACAAATAATTCATTTACTAGGAGAAGAGTTGGAACAACACACTCCTGCAGTAGAAAATGGCCCAATTGAGGGAGCAAGCAATGTGCAGGAAACACAGCAACCTCTTCCAGAAGTAAATAATAGTAGCCACTTAGAAGATGACCGCCTAATTGCTAGAGCAAGGGCAGTTGGTGTGGACTATGAGTTTCCAAAGCCTGGTGAAGTGGAAACGGAGGATGACAGAAGAAAATTTTTATTTACTTGAATCCAGTCCATTCCTTTTTCTCTCCAACAACAATGATATATTAAGAAACATTGTTATTATAGCTGGAAATTTCTTTCCAACCATGTGCACACTCATTGGTTATTTCAATGTCACCTGACATCTAACAATGAAACTTTTTGGTGCCAATATTCTCTAAGCAGGCAACATCGCAAAAATCATTCACATCAGAGGGTAACAGTGCACTATTACCCGTGAATGACCAACAACTGACCTTCCAGGGAGGTTTAATGAATTTCCATGCAGCTATAAATTTGTTAAAATATTAACATCACAAATCACTTAAAGACTTGGCCCATGGGAAACAGTTAATTTTGTTTTCCAAGAATCTAAATATTTCCCAGCACCATTCTCATTAGTTACTTCGAGGTCACATGACATCTAACTGTTTCCCACCACAATCTCTGAGGAATTGCCAGGCTAATTGACCAGCTGCTGTGAAAATTGGAGAATGACTATATGAATGGTTAGGTACGTTAGGTACAGTGCCAAAGTTGCATTGATAACTGTGGTGATCTTCCCTGAATTTATTTCTTCATTCTGCATTGCCAGTATATGAAATTAATGTATTTATTATACCATATATAACTTTGTTGTGTGAATTCACCTTGGATAAGTTAATCTTTTCTTGTGCTGTTTTAAAGTTATAGAGTTTTAGTTTTAGTTTCAACTTTTAAGACCTTTTTCTTTCCTGCTCTTTAAACCTTATCTAACTACGTGTTACTTTTTTCGTAGTTTTCTTTGACTCCTCTTCTTCCTTTGTCGGGAGTGGGTTGCGGCTACACGTAGGCTAGATTACATCCCGATACCGACTGGGGGGTATCAGTATTTGCAACGAGGTTATATCGTATTGTGTACCAGTGTGAATAAAACGATCTTCATCATCATCATTATTATCGTTATTATTATTGTAATGAAATCGGGAGCTCCGCTTTTAGGCTTGGCTAAATCTATATATTATCTGTGCTTTGCGCTATCTCTTTCAGGCTTTGCCACAAGTGTCATATGACATAAATGATTTTCATAGACTCGAGTTCCATACATGAGCTCTCTTCTAAAAAAGCTGAATACTGCGAAAGTAGTTGTACCGAATGCGTTTATGTACCCTCATATGGGCTATAATGATCATTTTTGATTTTTTTTTTACTGTAGCATTCTGTGTCATGATCATTCAGTATTTTTCGATCCTAAATGTTAATTTTCGACTTAACAGTGTCTGTTAAACATACGAAAGCCTTATAATGAAAATACTTTATTTTACCTTCCATTTAGTTTGTGAATAGACAAATGGCAGCTGTCTTAATGTCCCCAGATTATATGTGGCGTGAAATTAAACCTTAAGAAATACTATCTACACTTCAAGCTGCCCAATGAGTCAATAATTTCAAAGCTTAGTAATGCCAAAATGCTTAAATAACAATAATAATAATAGTAACAGGCATATCAATTTTTTTACGATTTTTTCCACGATGAAAGCGTTTCCTTTGCGGTCCGCAACCTTTTGTGAAGCTGCGAATCAGAAATCCTAGCAATCTTGTGATAGTTTTTTCTTGTTTGTTCAGCAAATAAAAACCTCGGACTCTCAATAAAAGGGACGTCTGTATGTACTCGAAGGCTTTAAATCTATCCTCTGGTGAATAATAACATAAAATCTTACAAAATTAGAGAAAAAATTTGGGAAAGTGTTTATAGCCGATTAGCCGATAAAACGCGAAGGACGCGAGTGCAGAAAGGTAAGCTTGCAGTTTCTCGATTAAGCGGAGGACTTAGAGCGGTTTTCCTTCTGATTTACTGATCCTTGCCTATTAAGGGATTTTTTAATACCCAAGCTCCAAGCATAACATCTTGAAGCAATAACTTTTGACGTTTTAGAATTGACTTTTGTTAGACTATAAAATGTTCGATCAGATCGATCATACGGCAGCAATAGCAACATATACGCATTGTCACATCTCCAGTTTAATCAGAACGTTGTTACAATTTGCGTTCAAGATCAGACTTGTTACATTTTGTGTTAAAACTGTTTTGCATTTTGCCTTAAAGGTTTTTACATTACGAGTTCATGTTACATTTTTCTTCAGATATTTTCAAATTTCGCGTTAATTGGCGCCATAATCTTCGTCTTTTCGCACCTTCCCGACTAACGACTTGTCTAACATTGGAAAATAACAAAAAAGGCGGGGGAGGAACAAAAACCAGCTCCCCTAGCGTTGGTCAGTTTCAAGGGAGGAAATGCAGTGCATTTTCTTTAAAGACAAAGTTTTTAATTGTTTTTTGTTTTAGGTAAACTGAAATCATATGCTCCTGGTAAAACGTAGTCTGTTTGCCCATGGTACTCAAGTGATTTTGATTGCTTTGTATCTTTTTTGGATTATCTTTTCAAAAAAGATGCAAGACCTACCCGAAGCAAACTTGACAAGGAGGACCTCTGAATTAGAAAGACAGTTGAAGGATTTTCAACCACGTGAAGAAAATTTTCAGAGGAGGTTAAGAGATGAGCAGCAACGCGAAGAGAATCTACAAAGACAATTCAGAGAGCTTCAGGAACCTGAACAGAGCGCTCAAAGGCAGCTTACGGAGTCGCAGCAACGTGAACAAAATTTGCAGCGGCAACTCAGAGAGCTTCAGGAACGGGAACAAAGCTCTCAATGGCAGCTTACCGAGTCGCAGCAACGAGAACAAAATTTGCAGCGGCAACTCAGAGAGGTTAAAGAACAGGAACAAAATTCTTAAAGGCAGCTAACGAAGTTTCAGCAACGTGAAGAAAATTCACAGAGGCAATTGAGGGAGACAAGATAGAAGTTGAGAAATTACCGAGGACAAGTTTCTGAACTACAGTTAAGTCTGCCAACAGCTCAGCAAACAATAAGTGAATTGCGAAGCCAAGAAGCACGTGACTTGGGTTATTCCCCGGGACGAAATTCAAACCACAGAGAAATGCCTTGGGATGGGAGGATAAAGAAGTGTCAATGAGGGAACGTATTGTGGCTGCACTGTAGCAGTGAAACTAACTCATTAGTTGATTCCTTCTCCTTATAACATAAATCTGTTTGACAGAGAAATGAATATCGCTTCTAAATTCCGCCATGCTCACTTACTACAGTTTATCGGTGCCACTAATGATGAGGGAAACCCTCTGTTTGTGACCGAGCTGATGGAGAAAAGTCTGTGCACTTTGTTGGACCAGCGGCAATTCTCCCAGACAGAAATAGCCGTCATTTCTCTGGATGTAGCACTTGCTCTAAACTACCTTCACCAGAAGAAACCAGAGCCTATCATTCATCGTGACGTCAGCAGTGCTAATGTGTTGCTATGGCGACAGGCTGACCAATGGAGAGGCAAAGTGTCAGATTATGGCACTGCTAATTTCATGCAGCAGACCATGACAGTGGCTCCTGGAGCTATGATTTACAGCGCACCTGAAGCACTTACATCAAACCAAACGGTCAAGGTAAGTTTTAGTCACTGTTCAAGACTGTTAACATTGGCATAAAACTTCTTTCATAAAACAGTGGCGCAAACTTCTTTCCATACATCGTATATCGGTCGTGGTTTTCTCTTTCCATTGTTATCGTCGGGGCTTACGGAAGAAGCAGCGGCCTGAGTTTTTTGACTTTATGATGGCACTGTGTAAAGTTATGTTTGTGGTTAGTTTTTTTTTTCAAGCGGAGTAGAAAACTGTGTCTGTTTAGCCTCTTGAATTATGCAACGGACAATTTTATTGCAAAGTGTCCTGTTGAATATCTCGTTTTAGTACATACACACTCTAGGATCTTGGTGATTTAAGCAATCTGATTGGTTCGCTATCTCGGACTATTCAACAATATTCACCTCCTAGCGAGTGGATAATGTGTGAGCTCGGTGTTTTTCCCATTTTTTTACAGAACGATCTTTTAAAAGTCGACAAAATCCTAGGGCTGCTAGAAAATACTTTTAAGAGCGGCTGCGCGTAATTATCAACTAGACGTGGAAATAGTCAAAGAATGACCTGGCCTCAAACTCAGCCAGAATAAAGCCCTATGGGCCCTAGTTATAAAATCGTTGATTTAAGTACGATCGAGTGAATAATATTTTTTTAACGAATTTTTTTCTTCCTGAGGCCTAAAATGAGTAAAAATCATGCAAAATTAGAGTCATATTCAGTAACTCGTACATTTTAAAATAAAGTTGGCTACTAAAATCTAATGACACTTCATATTTTAACTATCTTTCCTCTATAATTTCAACTGATTAGTTCGTGATTTGGTCTACAAGAGATTTTTTAAGAAGTTTTCAAAGTTGTTGACTCAAAATCGCTTAATCAACCGTCAAAATTTAGCACTTTTTCATGAGCTAAAAAAGCGGATTGGTACATGGCTTTGAACACCAAGGCTTGTTTAGCCTGAAAGAGCATTCTTTTTTCTTCAAATTAGCGAAGTAAAATTTTTGGGTAAATGAAATCACGAACGCAGACAAAGCGAAGCAAATGTAAATGTTACACTAAAGACGGGCGAAAATCGTGACCTCTGACCGAAGCACAACCAAATGCGAATTACGGTAGGCGCCAATCTTGAATTATTCGGTAACTTCTCGAAACAATATTGGTCCGAAATGTGTATAGTTTTTTTAAAATAAAGCTGAGCTAAAGTATTAAGTGTCAAAAAGTCCACAAAGCGGTAAAAAATACAACAAAAGTCACGAGTATTAGATCTGTTCCGCTTTCTGAATTTTATGCAGCGATTTATGCGATTTAACGAATTAACAATTTTTAATCCAACGATACCCACCTGAGACTGTGTTAGTTTAAGAGTCCGTAGAACTTCTCAGAAGATTTCTCAGAAAGACCTTCAGAAGGAAATGAATGAAGAATTTGAACTTATAACTGTAACAATTCCACTTGCCGCCACGGCAAAACGAAAAGAACTGTCGAACTGCCACAGGCAAACCAGCTTTCAGTGCAGTCATGCAGAGCATGTCACGTCACGTAATTCTGCCCCGCGCATTTGGAAGGGAGGGAAGAAATTCTTCCATGCTGTGCGCTAAAACATTTGTGAAATAAAACTAGCTTTGGACTGTATCTTTTGTAACTAGTTAAAGAAAAGAATAACTTTTTCCCCTGTTTTTGCTCAAGGGGCGCAGTGCACTTCTTTTATTTTATCTGCTGTTTATAATTATTGTGTTTCAAGTTCAGAACGTGCATCTATAGTTAGCAGTTGGTGTGTTCGAATTACCGAATGCTGTAGAAAGGATATCAAAGGGCACCAAAGCAGTGGCGGATCCAGGGGAATAGTACGGGGGTCCGGACCCCCCTCAGACCTGATACGATAGGATTGTATATCACTGTTTAACTGGGTGGATTTTTTAATGAAACGCTTGTTGCATTTTGCCACCAAACTAAATTCCAGGGATATTCAAGAATGTGACTGTCTTTGGGTACCCTCAGTAATCTGTGTATTTCCCGCGCCAACGGCAACTGGCTTTCACAGATTCAGAAACACGTAGTCGTCTCTGCCTAGTGGGAGGGGGTGTGGGGAAAAGCAATTTGCCCCCAACAAGTTCAACAGTCCTTTCTGAACCAAAATTTGGACCTCCCCCAACCCCAATGAAAAATTCCTGGATCTCCTCCTGCAAAGATGTTACTCTGAGTTCGGAGCCAATCAAGGCTCATGCTGGCGCGTGCAAGTAAATCAATTTTTTTCGAGTTATATTAGATGCTCACTTATAGGACGAAAAACAGTACAATTTTATTTATGTTTTATTTTGTGCCTGATCATGTGTATCCTAGAGGAACAAGAGACATATTTGTCGCAAGCCTTTCTAATCATTCGAGCTCATCCGGTTTCCTGTGGTTCGGTGGTTGCTTGTGTTGAAACATCCCGACTAAAAGCCAACAACAGGGAATAAGCTCTTCGCAAGCCAATGAACTAGTGGCCACATCCGGTTCTCCAAAAAAGATTTGGATAAGTTGAAAGGACAAAATTGAAGGAACTGATCAGCGAAAAGAGAAAGAAAGCCAGTACAAACAAAATTAAGAACATACATGTACACGATATCATTTTTTCCGATATTAGTCGGTTTGCAACACAAAGCTTTGTCGGGGGCTGATACTGTGGGATCGTTACCAAAATTGAATTTAAAACCAAAGTACATAATTATAAACATAATTGGTGATTACAAAGGTAGTCTAATAAACCTGTACTGATGCAAGTAAGGAACCAAAAATAACGACCTGGCTGTGGTTGATCAAACGACCGATCATTTTTCCAAGTACCGTGTTGAACGAGATTTTTGCAGGAGTTTATTTTTGCGGATTGGCGATTTTGTGTTTTTTCGGGAACTAATTTTTGCGATTAGGACAGACTGGTTTTTCTTGCTGGGGATTAATTTTTGCGATTTCAGAAAGTATCTAGTACCCAGCATTGATAATATTTTCGTTTTTATTAGCTTTTTATTGGGCACGTGCAATAGAAATACATATTTTCAAACAGTACTAAGTGTGCGTCAGTATTTGTTTCTCAAAAAAGAGACCACTTGTAATTGAACAGACACGATTTCTTGGTACTGTATTCTTACGTAGTGCATTTAAGTTAGAGAATACAGTATTTCGGGAAATATTTTTGCGGTAATACTGTTATGAAATCCTATCAATAAAATTCAGCCGTGAGTGAAATAGTGAAAATGACAAGAAGACAGAGGGGAAAAAGCAATAACCGTTCATTCCAATGGGTTTAAAATTGTTTAGCTTGACATTTTATGTAAGCGAACGGGAATGACATATTTATTTGTTCGGGAGCGATGAATTTTTTTTTAAAAGCACGTTTCATTATTGCAAAAATTTGCCAAAACTTTAACTGAGAGCCATTGGTAGATTCTATGGTATTTTTTCTCGTTCCTTTTATTTCTAGTTCTGTTTGGTCACATGAACCATGATGTCAGCTTTTTAAGTTAAGATAACCATCTGTTATGGACATGTCTCATATTATCTCAGTCGTGACAGATCAAACCTTAATTACACTTGGGTTCAAATGTTATTACGGATGGACCTTTATTACACTTGGGTCCAGTTATTACACTTGTGCCTTCCACAAGTTCCACTGACAAGAAATCCGGATCCCTGAAGCGAATTTGGTCAAGAGGCAACCAAACATTTAGCCTCCCTTGGTGGCATTTTCAGGGGAGTCATATTTTCCCATATTTCCTCCCTTACCTGAGACCAAGATATGTGTCATTCATACCCGTCTGTAAATAAAGCGAAGGGAAAATCAGAAAATTGAGGGTAACGTTGTTGAGATCAAAGGTGAAAAGAAAGAAGAAAATCACACTTTTCGTTTGTGGGGAGGGAGGAAAAACGCCTGCTCATCAAGTCCAAGGCGGAAGAGGCACCTTTGCCCTCAAGCGAGGGCAAAGTTAAACAGTGATATACAATCCTATCGTATCAGGTCTGATGGGGGGGGGGGGGGGGACCCCCGTACCATACCCCTGGATCCGCCATTGCTTTGGCGCCCTTTGATATCCTTTCTACAGCATTCGGTAATTCGAACACACCAACTGCTAACTATATATGCACGTTCTGAACTTGAAACACATTAATTATAAACAGCAGATAAAATAGAAGAAGTGCACAGCGCCCCTTGAGCAAAAACAGGGGAAAAAGTTATTCTTTTCTTTAACTAGTTACAAAAGATACAGTCCAAAGCTAGTTTTATTTCATAAATGTTTTAGCGCACAGCATGGAAGAATTTCTTCCCTCCTTCCCAAATGCGCTGGGCAGAATTACGTGATGTGACATGCTTTGCATGACTGCACTGAAAGCTGGTTTGCCTGTGGCAGTTCGACAGTTGTTTTCGTTCATTGCCGTGGCGGCAAGTGAAATTGTTACAGTTATAAGTTCAAATTCTTCATTCATTTCCTTCTGGAGGTCTTTCTGAGAAATCTTCTGAGAAGTTCTATGGACTCTTAAACTAACACAGTCTCAGGTGGGTATCGTTGGATTAAAAATTGTTAATTCGTTAAATCGCTGCATAAAATTCAGAAAACGGAACAGATTACTTGTGACTTTTGTTGTATTTTTTACCGCTTTGTGGACTTTTTGACACTTAATACTTTAACTCAGCTTTATTTTAAAAAACCTATACACATTTCGGACCAATATTGTTTCGAGAAGTTACCGAATAATTAAAGGTTTGGCGCCTACCGTAATTCGCATTTGGTTGTGCTTCGGTCAGAGGTCACGTTTTTCGCCTGTTTTTAGTGTAACATTTACATTTGCTTCGCTTTGTCAGCGCTCGTGATTTCATTTACCCAAAAATTTTATTTCGCTGATTTGAAGAAAAAAGAATGCTCTTTCAGGCTAAACAAGCCTTGGTGTTCAAAGCCATGTACCAATCCGCTTTTTTAGCTCGTGAAAAAGTGCTAAATTTTGACGGTTGATTAAGCGATTTTGGGTCAACAACTTTAAGCATTTCTTAAAAAATCTCTTGTTGACCAAATCGCGAACTAATCAGTTAAAATTATAGAAGAAAGATAGTAAAAGTATGAAGTGTAATTGTATTTTAGTAGCCAACTTCATTTTAAAAAACACGAGCCACTGAATATGACTCTAATTTTGCATGATTTTTTGCCCATTTTAGGCCTCGGGAAGAAAAAAATTCGTTAAAAAAAATATTATTCACTCGATGGTACTTAAACCAACGATTTTGTTACTAGGGCCCATAGGGCTTTATTCTGGCTGAGTTTGACGCCAGGTCATTTTTTGACTATTTCCACGTCTAGTTGATATTTACGCGGAGCCGCTCTTAAGGATTCAATACGGCGTTTTTCAATTTACTGTAGCTGCGTTTTGTGCTTGATGGATTGTTTACAACTCCCGTGTATATTCGCGTAGAAGAAGCCGTTTCGTGAACTCAGCGTCGGCTCAAAAATCGAAGTTTCTTTATGACAAAAAAAATTTAAAAGGAAATGTTTGCAGAAATTCTACGTTTCAAGTAAACAGGAAAAATAATGATACAGGAAGACGACGTCTTACCTCGAGCAACCGAGCCGCCATTTTTGTCAGCACTTCATGCAAAGAACGACACAACAAACCCTTTAGGCTATAAACATGGCGAGTCAACAAAAAACAACAAAGCTCTTCTTTTCTTCTCAGGTAAGGAAATAGTTCAAACTTTTAGCGGTTCCATTTAAGCCATCATGCTGTTGTTTGCGAAATGATAACTTGTGAATTGCCATGTTTGAAAATTCTGCAAAGATCTATTTTTAAACTGCCCTAACTAACAACTAAGGAGAAACTCAACTTCATATCAAAAAAACAAAGTGAAAACTACTTCACTGGGAAACAACAACCCCTTCAAATATATATCACATTAACTTCATGCAAAATGTAGACCTGATGATAAGTTTACAGGAATAGAAACAAACGATAATTACAATGAAACTATAAAGTTTGAATGAGCGCTGTATTTGAGTGTTCTCTCATAATTCTGCAGAAGATCAAAATTGGAAACTGCAGATCCTACACAACTGCATGCATCAACATGATCCAACTAAAGTTTCATTTTTAAGACTCAAAGTTTACTCCAAACTTTAAACTCCTGTAAGTTTAATTTGTGATGATTATTTTTTTTTCTAGAAAAGAACTTTTGAATACATAATAGCATGTTAACTCTATCATTCATTCATAGCTTTGCTCCAAAAAAACTTAAGCCGAAAACGATGGACAGAAAGACAAAAGCATTCACAGAAAAATTACCCTGTCCATCTCCTTCCAGGATCCAATTTTCAAGCAAAGTAACACCCCCCACAGAAAGCCTTGTGTGCAAAACTTTAGTACCAAAAAATTGTACACGGAGGAAATCATGTCCTTAACTGCGGCTCCTAAAGTAAGAAGTAACTCGTTGTGTGGATAATCCCAAACCAAATTTATGAGCAAAATAATCTAAACTTCGATCCTTCAATTATAAAATTGTAAGCCTAAATGTACAGCAGCTATGCACATTGTGAACAGAATTTTTTTTACAAATCAGAATGTTGCTGGACCTATCGAACTGTCGCTCCAAGACGGTCTAAGCGTTTTAATGAAAACACTCTCACATTTTCGTATTCGACAGTTCGGATAAAACTCAAACTTCTGTAATATATAATGCTGTAATAATGTGCAAAAACAATGAAATGTGCATCGATCGACAAAATCACGTTTCGAACTACGCACTTTCGAAAACTGCCACAACCCCGCCGCTTTCGATCCACTAGCCACAAGCAAGAGCCATAAGAGGACCTGTCCTATTATGGCTCTTGCCACAAGACAATTTACACAGCGAGACAATGGCTAAGAATATTTCTTTACCTTTTTTATAATTTCCTTTTGCACCGAGTGACACGAGAT